TCACGAATAGTGATGTATTCCGAGCAGGATCTAACCTTTTTCTGCGCTCATCTAATCGGTGTTTTCTTTTTCATAAACATCCAGAAAAAAGGCCGTGTTCGCAAGGTACGGGGTTTACCTCTCATCTTTGATCCGCGCTCTTCCTTAGAGCCAAAGTGGGCTCAACCTCAGCGGTTGTTGACATTTTCTGTTTTGTTTGAGGTTTAAGACGTTTTCTATAACTAACATATTACAGCAACAGATGTCCCTCCGTTGAACAACGTACCGAAGGAAAAAAGCAGGAGAATATCGGAAACGTTCACGAGCAACTAATCTCGACATAACACAGAAGATAGGAAGCGGAGTGTTCTTACGCTTCCGCTTCATAGCTTGGCCTCGTGCCGACGTTCTACTACTATGTGTTCAATTCCCGAGCTGATATTCTTAAGGAAAAACCTTACGCTTACTCGTGATGTCAAAAATGACATCCATCTTTCTTCAAGGGCCCAACTCACTGTCAGGCAGAAGTCGTGTGAACGATTCCCTTCGGTCTGTAAATAGACCCCTAGGACAATCACAGATGTGGCATTCCCGTGCACGGAAATCAACCGACAAGAGCGCTAGGGCCTTGCAAAGTAAGCTGCTGCAGCTGCAGATTTTTTTTCTTTATCAGGCTGTTGTCTGGCGCCTCTCATCTGTTGCGCTCTCTCGCCTCATACTCTCCTCTCCGCGCTTAGTCTCTCATTCCCTTAGCACAGCCGATTAGGAAGGTGAGTGAGCCCTCAACCTGAGCGTTTTCGACGGATTCTTTTCCTTTTTTCTTCACTGCCCACTTGGCACCGATACATTCACATTCGTGTGCAAGAGCCACACCAATATGACGTTGGGGAACGCCTTTAACAGAAGTCTATGGTATTGTGTAACAGGGAGTTGAGCTGCTACCTACACATTGGCAGTGAGTCGTATTGAGGTAATACATACAAAGCGTTCAAAAGCATTCGGCCAAATGCTTTTCGGCCGTAGTTTTCTTTCTGCTAAATCGAATCAGTTCAATTTTTGATATATTTGAGCGACAAACCTTCCTCAGTAAGCAAGTGTATTATTGTTGAATTGGGAAAGAATTTGGAAAGAAAACATTTACTAAACTAGAAAATTTGGGCGGAAGTGGTGTAGTGGCAAGTGGCACGCTTACCACGCGAGCGGTCCGGGGATCAAATCCTGGGTCGTGAGTCGCCCGGGCCAACCAAGCCTTCCATCCCTCCGGGGTCGGTTAATTGGTACCAGACTTGTCTGGGAGGATAAAAACACTGACTTGTACATCGGCTGGCCCCCGCAAGTCATTGTATAGGCCACATCGCATTCAAACGCCACTACGAATGTACATCAAAGTAATGCGTGTACAAATGAATAAATGGAGTGCGAATCCCAGACGGGATATGAATCATCGGTCAAAGGCTTTTTAATCTTCAAACCTAGAAAATCTCAACTGACTAATCCAAGTAATTTCAATTTATTGGAAAGTGCTTACATTCAAGAATACAACCAATAAGATCCTATGATAAAAAAACAATTGAGCCAAATCAAACTTTATGCGGCTTCTGGAAGTGTAAAGATCGAGAGTTCTGAGTAAGGAACAATCTCATTACACAGTTTTTAGGGCAATCTCGTAACCAATTTTTTACGCGATTGACAAGTTTTCTCGTCCATTACTTCCTGGTCTTTTAGCGCCGTAGGGTCTCAACCATATTTCAATTGGACGCTCTGATTTTGATGGAATTGCTCGATCCCTTCCGTCACGCCATTGGGGCAAGACTCCTTCACAATGAATGTCGATTGTTTCGATTGCTCTAAGTTATAGAAGTCCGAAGGCGTCTGTTCATTGGCGCCACACTTACGGGGCTCCCTTAAAAAAGGCCAGGGCAGGTCATTTGCTAGTCTGGTGGACGGTATCTGACACACTTGCTACAAACAGATTGTTTTCCATTTGTTATTAGTGTGCTTTCAGAACATCACCGGTATAAGAGCCTTAATGATGAATATGGTTTTATCCACTCTGCACTGCCGGGCTTTATCAAATAAACGACTCTTGACACTCGCATGTTCAATCGCAACTCGACAGGAAGTCGAAACAAGTGCGACACGTGCAAGATTTTGTGAGCTTTCAAAAGAAATTGTGACACACAGTGTAGCTCTACACTCAGAGACAACTAAGTCCCATCACCCAGTGACCCTGTGCGGCTCCAACACAACGATTCTCAAAACCACGCTCCTCTGTTCAGCATCAACTTGTGCTGCCAATTTCGTCGATGCTTCTATTCTCAGTAAATTGGAACTTCCCACGTTCGATGGAAACATCCTTGAGTACCCAGAATTTTCGTCTCGGTTTGCCACGTTAGTCGGCAATAAGGTTCAACTCGATGACACGACAAAATTTTCCTTGTTGAAATCTTGTCTGCGAGGTCGTGCTCTTCACGCGATACAAGGACTCTCCATGACTCCTAACAACTACAAGATCGCTATGGACATCCTCGCCACCCACTTCGACGACAAAGTGACTATGAAACATATCCTCTACACGAAGTTGTCACAACTACCGAATTGTGACCAGGAAGGTCGCAATCTTCAAACTCTGTACAACCAAATGTTTGCTCTAGTTAGGCAGTTTGCTGAAGACGGAAATGACTCAAACGAGACCGGTTTAGGAGCAATTCTGCTTAACAAACATCCTGCCGGTGGTCGCCACTTGTTTTGACTTCTGCTTCCGGCTGCGTCGAACACTGCGAGTCCAAAGTCGTTTATTTGGATAAACACAGCAGAGCAGAGTGGATAAACTGAACCATACTCAGCATGAAGGCATTTATACCGGTGATGTTTTGAAGGCAGACGGATAACAAATGGAAAACAATCTGTTTGTAACAACATCTGCCGTGGTGGACGGAGCGCAAGTCCTTTTGTGACGAAGAACATGATATTTGCGGAGCAACGTATGGCCGACGTCATAAATTGCGAATCGAGCAATTCGCTTGATCCGAGCGTTGCGCCAGCGAATCGAACGTTGCACCAGCGAGTCGAACGATGTACCAGCGACTCAATAGTGGCGGGACCCAACGTTCAAAGGAAGCCCGCCACTTTCAAACAGTGTCCACTGTCAAGTCCCGCCACTTTCAAAAAGGTCCACTGTCACGTGACACTGTTTGAAAGTGGCGGGCTTCCTTTGAACGTTGGGTCCCGCCACTATTGAGTCGCTGGTACATAGTTCGACTCGCTGGTACATAGTTCGACTCGCTGGTGCAACGTTCGATTCGCTGGCGCAACGCTCGGATCCTGCGATTCGCAAACTATGACATCGGCCTATAAGTTTCAAGGAAGTTTTGACATGAAATCTATTCACCTTTACTCTTTCAACAGATTCGTACGCTTTAGCTCTTCAGTGCCAACAGTTTGCCTTCCTTTCGCCAAATCACCATCTCGGAATCATAGGACTAATGACGGTGAATGATTGTTGACGAGTGATTTGTTACCATTCGCTCATTTGCTTTACCTTTTACCACCACACTGCTGCCTATAAAGAGAGTCTAGCATATAGGCAAGAACCTGAGTACGCAAGCAGATGCGATTCCTTCTCTGAAACATGCACGACAACACCAATTTGAATGCTAAGACACAAACCGCTCATAATTTTGAAATTCGACGCCGTGGGACGGATTTGCAGCGTCTCAAAGCGTCGCCCCGTCACTTGCGCGGCGTCTTGACGCGGCAATTTTCCCAGGGCGCGAGCTTTTTGGATGTCATGGTTGCAGCAGCGAATTTAATGTGGTCCACAATAATTTATGTGGGGAGGATATTCAAATTAAATAACGCGCTTCTGGCTCGGGCTTGAAGTCTGATCCATATATGAAATCGTTAGAACAATTCAAAAAAGGTGGCGCAAATAAGTATGTTTACAAAGCTCATAATCGCAATATTGAAGAACGCCAAAAGAAAAGATGTTCGAAGGAATTGAAAAGAAGCGGCGAATGATTAACTGTGATATGGCTTACAGGTCGTTCCTTAAAGTTTATGCCCAAATCTGCACAAGAATCGGTCACTGTGCTGAACATCGCTGGCACGACCTAGGAATCGGACGGTTTGCCAGCCTCATTAATCATCGCTAAAGATTCATAAAGCATCCGAGCCAGGATGCACTCGTTAGACCGATTTTGAAGACTTAACGACTGTTTCCCCTTAGAGAGTCTCACCATCCCCACCTCCCCCTCTTTCGTAACAGCTACTGTCAGAAGAAGTGCGGCAGTGCAACATACATACGTGCGGCTCCATCGCGTTCCTTCCCAAGGCGCACAATCCTTCACCCATCCAGCCGGAAATGACGGTCCTAACAATACAGTGAATAGTTATATGTTCCTCTTCTACCAACTTGTTAGACTAGGCCGGTCTTTATTAGCGGCCTGATGTTTCGTTTCCCTCGTTTGAGTTTCCCCCATAACCTTCGCCAGAAACGCTAGGGAGAGGAGGCGTGTGGCGATGCAAAGGACATCTCTTGAAATTTGAGCTACGTTTAGAGATTTGAGGAAGATGACCTCGCTCAAACTTCGGACCACTATTAAAATCTTCACCTAGATTAATGACTCATTTTACTTGCACATGCCAAGATATGATTTTTGAGTTTCTAAGAGAACGAAGCATGAATTCGAATTGTGGTGATACGGTGCGTGATCCTTCTCCGTTGACGTATGATTAGGCTTTTGTTTTTTCCTTTTTTGTTTTTAAGGACGAGCAAAAATTGATTGGTCTTTTTCGATAATGGCAAAGACGCCTCTGCTTCATCTTTCGCTTGATTTTTTCATGAGCGATGACAGTGCATTCTGTGACGCATTTCGACGAGTGTCTCCAAATGCACGCTCGTGGGAAATACTTCGTGAATGGCATTTGCAATCGCAGAAGTGCTCAGCAAAGTAAGTTTTCATCGTTACTTGTAGAGTTCATCTCGAGGAATCGACTTGTAAGCAGATTATACAGTGACGTTTTTCTAACTAACAAACGAAACTTCCGCTAACGAAAAGATACGGAGATACTTTACACTTCTACCGAACGAAGGATTTAGTCGACTAGATGCACCAGCACTAGTAAGGAATCTCGATTTCTGCGCAGGGTGTGTTCAGGATTTGCATTTTGTGTGCAGGGTTGCACAGAATTTGCAGAAATCTGTAGTCTGTCTAAAATCGATAAGTTTGACATTGCCTGAGAATGCTCTAGCTCACTGACCATTCTTTGATCGGATACATTCTTGTCTAGAACCCAACGAACACAGAATGAGGTGCTTCCACTGGAACGTTACAGATATGAAGTACATCAGTGATGTGTGAGAGGTAGCACAAACACCCCTAAATGAGAAGTACTCTGTTTGAAAAGCGAGACACGAATGGTACGAGGTGGTGGACGCGTCATAGCGACAGTGAAGGAAATGGAGGAGGTACCACAAGTATAGTAACTTGTAGATCCATGAGCTATGGAGAGCCGCTTTGGAAAAATCGTAGCTATTGGAGGAACGCAGAACACTCCTCGACGGTCAGTGGCGCTTCTAGAACAATCAGCTATCACACAAAGGCAATCAGCAGTTATGAGAAGTCAAGAAATCTGAATGATGTCGTTGAGCCGAGCTTGTGGAAAGTTCGGTCACAGAAGACTAATCAATGCTATATGATAGAAGTCTCGTCCACGCAGTAAGGAAATTTGCAACAATTACCTAATGTATCCATGGTCATCCCCACGACTCGTTTAAGTTCAGACACTGAATCATTGAAAGAAACCCAATTGTTCAGCTTTCATGTATTCATTTTCCTGCGATTGTGATGAAGGTCGGAAGGCTATCTGCATCACAAGTCAATGCCCTTCATCTTTGACATTAATTTGATTATTGAATTTTATAGGCAGCCTCCAATTACGAAAACAGTAAAAGCCCCTGATGCCAGTTTAGAAATGAGTAGACTTCCGGATGCTGCACATGAAGTTTGCCTCAACTAGTTCAGGGAGAAGATCGAAGTCTTTAATCAAAGCGGTGTCGACGCAAATAGGGAGTTTCTTCAGCAGATCGAAATGCTATGCTTATGGGTTTTTTTTTTCGGATTTTGCATACTTTTTTCGTATCTACTAGGACTTCTGATTTTTTGCAGCTATCAGGCTTCATGCGACGGGAAGTTGGACGAGATGCATGTAATAGGTAAGCTCCGAATGGAAAGGCGAAAGCAGCTCTCGAAATGGAGAGCTCTACAAAGTGTCACGGCCAATGAAGCAGAGGTATTGCACAGTTGCTCCCGTTCAAGGTAAGGGGCTCGTCTACGGACCGACCTGAGCTTGCTCTGAAGATATGGCTACGGATGCGAGGACCATTTAAATGAAAAAATTGGGTCACTGTTACTTGTAGAAGTCAAACGCATATGCTACTTAGAGGTCTAAGCGGATACTTTTGGAATCAGTTACAACGAAAGAAGCGATAAGCACTGCAGTACTATGCGAATTTCGTCTCGCTAAAGTGCGGGTGTGCAGGCCAATTTCTTATGGAGTAATCCTTCAAGCAATGGTCGTTTTAGACGACCGAATCAATCACTTCCCCTCCTTTACCGACACACCACGAGATGTAAACCTTCGCTATAAGAACAGTGCGGCAATTCAGGTCCCAGTGCATATTGTAGACTACGCCGTGCATCAACGTATGACACCCACGCGGGCGCTGGTCATAAGACTGAAATAGGTGGGTTATTTCGTATCAACTGTGGCACTGGTGCAGACAGCGGCTTGGCATCACGGAATTCTAGTTCCTTTATGGGATGTGCTGCTCCATGAATACCACCAATGACCGTAATGGTAGTGTTTGTCATCAATCTGTGAAACTCAGGGCCTATGTGGCTAATGTGCTTGAATGAGAAGTCTCGATGCAAATTTCTCCACTTCAGGGACTAGTTTGCGAGTTCAATGAGGTAGGATTTTGAAATTGTAAATATGGGTTCCATGTTCCAACATGACTTCATTTTCGTTCTCTTAGTGTCACTTGTTGAATTTTTGGACTATTTTGTTCATGTTTCCCTTGCTTTCGCTCACTTAATGTTTGTTAAATATTGCGGTTGTTTCTATATAGTTTGTCATTTTTTTGCTGATGAAGCTGTTATGGCGTTCAAAAGAGGACCAATCTGAAACGCAGCGCCAAAACAACCCTGCAACAAGCCAACGAGGGGCGCTGTCAGAGAAACAAGAAAACACGCGGAATAGAAAGGCAATACATATTCCTTAACGAGGGATAGTAAGATTGGGTAAACTGGCACATTCGGTATGTGCCATTACGAAATCTGTAGGGGCGACGTCGAGCTGAGTACGAAGTACGCGATTGCGGCGGTTACGCATGTCACGTCAGGGTTACGGTAGCCCATCTGCTGGGTGCTGAAGTTAGATTCTTGTCGCGAATGTGGCAGTCCGTGCAAAGAAGAATCACCCAACAGAGGCGCTAGATTCTTTTAAAGCACACTGCACGAGCTGCGCATCCGTGTATCCTCCGGCTTTTTTACTACTAAATATTTGTCACTATAGGTCGTTATGAGTAATGTTAAGCAGTCACTTCAATCATGCACTATGTTGTGTTCAAGCATTTTCTCTCACTTCTTCTTTTTGCCTATATTCACTTCGTGTGGTGATTTTCTCCTAGCGACTTGATAGTTGTAGCGTACCATATGTTTCTATGGATTGCGAGGTGTGCTTCTGCTG